CAGAGGCCCAGAAGGATGCAATCAAACAGATGAGTTTATTGAACACACGCGTGGGAAGATGTACACTGCAAAACATCAGATGTAGATCTCCGCCCAAAAATACACTTCAGATTGCTTTTATAACGTCAGGATTGGTTAACGCCCCTTCTCGCGTTTTACAAGAACATAATTTGCATCTTCTTCCAAATATGTCGATGATCTCAGGCCCTGAAGATCCCCAGGGACTTGTCCTCCTCTTTGGCCCATCTTCTGTCACCTTTTACTAAGCAAACTCAAATGCAACAAGAAGCTGAATACATTCAGGCCTTCACTCAAGCCTGTTTCTAGATTATATGTGTTATATGTGTTTTGTAGGCGTGTATGCAGTTTTAACCTTCTATAGCTCCAAGTCACTTACACAATAGATCGTCTGGACATCGTGCCGAACGAGGCTTACAACCTCCAATTAATTGACTGAGCTGCAACTCTTTAATAAGCACAAAATGCAATGTGTATAAAATGGTCATAGCTGTACCTGTAATAAAAATATTAGTGTAATGCCAACAGTTTCAATAAATGCTTTAATGAAATGATGATTAATTTGATTAATGCAATGGTAATGACTTAATGCAAAGTTAATTAATACAATGGTAATAATGATGAGTATGAGTAGCAGTAAAATATTTTCCTTATTCCACACTCCCTCTCTTGACGTCTCCTTCAGAGACGTCACCACACCGTTTGTTGTGTCACTCCTCGGCCCACTCGGCTACCTCCAACTCCATTAGTGGCATCATGGTCACCGAACTCACCGGTTCAGAGCTCACGGCCCTGGTTATTACCTTCTCCAGCAGTCCTCTGGCACAAGGAATGAAACAACAACCACAAGTGACCAAAATTCCCAAGAAACAGGCAACAGAAAGCATTACAGACATAACAAACCCCTTCCATTGTCCAAACACGGATGTGTCGCCCCGCTTTTTCAGTTGGACAGCTGTTGTGGTTCGGGCGATCACCTCGTATGGACCCGTCCCGTCTGCAGAATGTACTCCAGATGTAACCTATTTTGTGAAACTGGAGACAAGAGCTTTTAATTCATCCCAATATTCTGCATGAGACCGGTTACTTCTGGTGGGCTGTTCCCCCGGGACCACTGTCCAGGGTGCCGGAAACTGCCTTCCTGTCAGCAGCTCGTATGGCGTGAAACCTGTGGATTGGTTAACAGAACATCTTATGGTCATTAAAGCAATTGGCAGGGCTGCAACCCAATTTTAGCCCCGTCTGCGTGCAGATTTTGCCCAATTTGTTTTTCAAATTTAGATTCATTCTCTCTACTTTCCCTTGAGACTCAGGATGATACACTGTCCCATACTTATGCTGAACCCCCAACATCCTCTCTCTTAGTAGCCCATGCTTCTGGCCAACCGGTCAGAGCATCTACACACACCTGCAGGTACCTGACTCCCGCCGGGCCCATTTCAATCATGTCTGTGAAATCAATAACAATCTCTTCTCCTGGCCTCTCAGGCAGGAGAAACTTACCTGCTTCCGGTTTTACTGGCTTCGGATTGTGTGCCCCGCAAATTAGGCACGTTCTGGCTTTTTCCTTTATCATATCTCTCAAGTTCGGGTGCCATCAGTGACACAGATTTTTCTCCATCTGTGCCACTCCCACATGGCCGAGCCCGTGAGCCTCTGTTATCTTCTGTTTTGCCATTTTGGCTGTTATGGTCCTTTCCATAGGCTTCCATCTTTCCAGGCTCCTTGGCTTTGCCACACCCCCTTTTCCTCTGGGGATGCCTCTTCTTGAGCCTGTCGGGCTTCTTCTAGCCCATCGGTGCTTGGTTCTTCTTCAGCAATTACCTGCACGATTTGCTGCTTTCCTTTGCAGCCTGCTGCTTCCTTGGCAGCCTCATCTGCTTTCTGGTTCCCCTTTGCCACCATTGTGGTTGCTTGAGAGTATCCTTTACATTTTATGATACTGACCTCGTCTGGGTCGTCCAGGGCCTTTTCCAGTTCCTCCATTTCTTTCTGGTGGGAAATGGGAGCATTTGTTGCCGTTCTGAAGCCTGCTCTCTTCCATTGAGCGAGCTCCATGTGTGCTGCCCCAAATGCATAAGCTGAATCTGTGTATATGTTCACTCTCTTGTTTTTAGCCAGTCTCAGGGCCCTGCTCAGTGCAATTACTTCTGCTCTCTGAGCTGACTGTTGCCCTTCAAGTCTCCTGGCCTCTCTGACTTTTTCTTCAGCTTCAGCTTTCTTGATGCAGTCGTGTGGTTCTCCTGACTACATCGGCTAGTTGATTCTCCACTGTTTCACATGGTACATCATTCAGGAGCAAGCTCCAGTTCCTCTTTGTTTATGGACAGAGTCTGTATCTGTCCCTCTAGTTTCTTATTTTCCTGTTGCAAATCTTGCAGAGACTTTAGGATGCTCTTTACATCCTCTTTCAGCTCCCTGTTGTCTTCCTGTTGCTTGGGAGGTTCAGTTTGCTTCACTTCCTCTTTCATCCAACCGGATATTCCTTGGCACATGATCATCATTTGCAACACTTACCGTGATTCTCTTTCAAAGTTTTCATCTCTGCTTTGGTTTTGCTGTTCACTGACTGGCCCAGGGTGTCTTCCTGCAGCTGTTTCAGTTTCCTTTCACAGTTTTCCCCTTCATTTTTGAAAACCATGAACAAAGGCTCTCTGTCTTCCATTGTTCCTGGACAAGCCATATGGATGGCTCTCTTCAGATGGTTCATTTGGTCCTTCAGTGGTTTATATGCCTTCTGTCCACTGGGTGTTGCACTTGAGCTGTCAGCCATGTTGTTTCCTGAAACTCACGAAATGGCTACTGTGTGTCCCCGCCAAGTTTCTCGATGACACTTACCTTTCACTTTCAGAAGCAGTGCAGCTGCTCCAAGAGGCACTTCCTCTTTTTTTCACCAGCTCGGTGAACCAGCACAATAATCAACCCAGAAACTTTAATGCTGTATTCCCTTGTGAATGCACAAAACCAGCCACAATTATCACTAGAAACATGCACCAACTCTGAAAATAACTCACTATGGTCTCTCAGTGCTTCATTCAACTGCACACAGTGTGCCCCTGAGAAACAAAAACAAGTTCAGTCAACCCAGATACTGAGCACCTCTGCAGCTCAATTACTGAAACAATAAACAAAGATGTCAAAACCAATGTCCTCTTTCTTAAACTCAGAATCACTCAATGTACTTTCACCCACTCTTTTAGTGAGGTACAAGGCGTCATGGGAGTACGCCTACACACCAAGTGACAAAAGGTTCAACGTGTCTTTCACTCATTTCACAGAGAAGTAAAATGCCAAAGCAAATATTAAGTATTTCTCCGTAGAGGTAAATCTCAAAACGATTCACTTCACCTTCCTGTGTTAAATCAGCGCTCAATGTGAAATAATTAAACATGTCAATGTACTCGAAAAAGAGGAACAAAGCCGCGCCCTATTATTTGCCTGTGAGATCCCAGCTTCTCAACATTAATAAAGGAAAATTCTGAAATTAATTAGCAATAAACAACAATGTGTACATGAATATCCACTATTTCAAACTCTAAATCAAAATCAGGCACCTCAACCATGTAGGTTGTCTTTAGAAATCAATAAGAAACAATTGAACATACTCTTTTCTACAAAAAGGGAAGTAGGTCTCAAATTTTAAGTGCGTATTAAGCCTTTAAGAAAGTCCCAGAGAAAAAGGGAAGTGACCGCACCCAATGACACTTTTATGATTTCACTGAAAATATCACAGTTTAATCTATTTCGTTGCACTGTACCTGTGGATGTGCAATGACAATAAACTTGAATTCTATTCTATTCTATTCTATTTAGTTTTCTACATGCACAAAAATGGCCACTTAATAACAGTCAAAAATCACCCTCTTAAAAACAGTCTATGTATTTTGTCAACAACCTGTTACTTTGGTAACTATTTCACTCAGAAGGATTAGCTAGGCCTTGGAAAATGACTAGACACTCGGTCAGGAACTGGTGAAATTGCTCTTCAGTTAAATCTGCGGATGTGGAATATTCATATTGTTCGTCCACTGTTTCACAGCAAATGACAAAGTACGCATGAATCCCTTCAGGTACACATGTTAGTTCAATCCTCAAGGACGAAGCAATAAGGTCACCCTGCCACTCAAAAAAAGGGGACGTTAGGATAGTCCATTAAATACTTATATTGCTCCAAACTCAAAAAAGTACTTAAATCTTCAACTATATTCTCTCAATGTCCTTCAAAATTCAGAATCTAAATCTTGTCTCACTCACTGCTGAAGTTCTAGTTCAATGAACACATGTGTCGCAGTTTAAAATTAAAAAGAGGAAGTACCTCACACCCAAGACCTGTGTGTGTGTTAATGTGTGTGTGCCTTCAAAAAAAGAAAAAGTGAACATATATGGTGAGTTTTCCTCAATTTACACAAAATATGACTTTAGATATCCTTTTGTAATTTCTGTTCTGCTTTAAACACGATGAATAACCTCCAGGTCATGAACTTTGGACTTATAATCCTGATATAACTCCACACAATGCACCGAGTACGGAGAAAATGCAACATCAGTATTTAAAATTCTCCACACAATTGAAAAACTGTTTCTATCATTTATTTAACCAAGAACTTTATCAAATGGACCTCAGAAGACCCATCAACATTCAGTACCTGTATATTACCGCAGTTAATGATGCTCAAAACTCAAAACAGTCAGTGTCAAATCAGTCAACCTTGACGTTTTCACTGAATCACGGCGGATTCAGATATAGGCAGTAAAAACTTCTAAAAACCAGCAATGTTTCTTTACAGGGACCACGCCAGATCCACTGACATTTATCAACATTAAATCAACAATGTCAACATTGATTTTCATTCAGAATTACCTTGTCAGAAAACCTTTTTACTATCACACACTTGGCTTCCTGAAATTCTGCTTCACGTCAGAAAACCTTGCCCAACCCAAGGTTTATTTGCCGGACCTCCACGTCCGGGATTACTTTTCCTATTGTTACGGCCCTAGCTGGGCCTCCTGATACTGCCCTTGTGTGGGCGTGGTGTTTTTCTCCGCCTCCTCCTCTTTTGCTCCACCCCTCTGTCTCTCTCTTGCTCTTCTCTCTCCCCAGGACACAGCTGCTGCTCATTGGACTCATTTACCACCTGGGCCCAGTCAGCAATCACCTCTCTGAGGTCATATAAGCTGGGGATGAGCTGTGAGCAGGGGGTGGGGTGTCTCTGCTTGGTGTGTAGGTAGCCTGCCTGAAGTGTGGAGTTGTGGAGTTGTGGAGTTGTGGAGTTGTGGAGTTGTGGAGTTGTGGAGTTGTGGAAGCAGTATAGCTGCTTTACGTGAGTAGTGTGGGCTTGTGGGCCTTGGCAGCAGTAAAGCCAGCTGCTGTTAGTGACAGGGTGAGCTTGTGGGCCCCTGGAAGTGCCTCCTCGTGGTGTGGAGTTTTTGTTTGGTTGTTGTGTTCTTTGTTGTTGCAACCTTTTTTCCCTTTTTCGGCATGTTATTGGTAATACGGCGTTGCCGGCTCCTTATGTTATGATTATCTATAATAAAGACTATGTTATTTTACTAAGAACACCTGTCTGTTTTCCTTTCATTCTGTTCTGGACTCATTTGTTACTGGTCCCCTCACTCGCATGCCTAGACCCCTTCGGGGGGGACGTAACACCTATGAACCAATAACTGTATAACGGTAATGTGAGGTCAGGCTGGACCAGGACGGGTGCTGAAGAGAACAGGTTCTTAAGTTCTTGAAAAGCAGACTTGGCCGCGTCGGTCCACTGAAAAGGAACTTTTGGAGAGGTTAGTTGAGTGAGAGGCAAGGCAACTCAGCTGAAGTCCTGAATAAACCTCCTGTAAAAGTTTGCAAATCCAAAGAACCGCTGCAACTGGAGTCGATTCGGAGGCTTTGGCCACTCCACAACAGCTTTTACCTTAGCTGGGTCCGGACGGAGGTTCCCTCGGTCGATTATGTAACCTAGAAAGGCGACTGCGGAGACATGGAATTCACATTTTTCTCCCTTGACAAACAGTCGATTCTCTAGGAGGCGTTGTAGAACCTGCCTGACGTGGTTTTCATGTTTTGACTGGGATTTTGAAAAGATCACAATGTCGTCTAAGTAGACGAAAATGAAGTGGTTAATAAAATCCAGAAGCACATCATTAACTAATGCCTGAAAAACTGCTGGGCCGTTGGTTAAGCCGAAGCGCATCACCAAGTACTCGAAATGTCCCAGGTGGGTGTTAAAGGCAATTTTCCACTCATCACCTTCGCAAATGCGGACCAGATGGTAAGCTTTTCTCAAATCCAACTTGCTAAAAATGGTTACTCCCTGAAGGAGTTCGAAGGCGAAGGTGAGAAGGGGCAGCGGGTATTTGTTCTGGATGGTGATTTTATCCAGCCCGCGGTAATCGATGCATGGTCGGAGTGTTTTGTCTTTTTTTTCCACAAAGAAAAACCCAGCGGCGACAGGAGAGGAGGAAGCGCGAATGATGCCGGCAGAAAGGGATTCAGAGATGTATTTCTCCATAGCCTCTCGCTCAGGGAGGGAGAGGCTATGGAGACGACTGGTTGGCAATGGAGTGCCGGGGAGCAGGTCAATAGCACAGTCGTAAGGACGGTGTGGAGGGAGTGACTGTGCATGGTCTTTCCGAAAAACCTTAGCAAGGTCATGATAAACCGAGGGAACGGAAGTCGGAAGACACAGGCGGCTCTGATGGAGAGGCCACCCGGCTGGAAGTCGAGGCAGCTTTTAGGCAAATCATGTGGCACTCCTCCCCCCACCCAGTGATACATCCCTTCTGCCAATTGATATGTGGGTTGTGTTGTTGAAGCCAGGGATGCCCCAAAACCAGCGGAGTTTGAGTGGCTCGGAAGAAAAAAAACCAAATCTCTTCCGAATGGTTGCCTGACAGGATGAGTGTTACAGGTCCAGAAACGTGCGTAATGTCAGGAAGGCACTGTCCTGACAAAGCAGTGACACGCAGGGCATGAGGCAAGGGGTCCAGATTCAGACAGAGATGTTGAGCTAATTCCGAGTCAATAAAGTTCTGTTCGGCGCCTGAGTCAATTAAAACGGACAGAGAATGACACTGAGTGGACGAGAACTTTAGCTGGAAGCATTAATCATGGAGGAGATTTGTCTTGACCGAGTCCGCCCACCAGTACTCCTACCATTACTGGTGGGCGCGCCCTTTTGCTCACGACGGGCAGGTGGCAACAACATGTCCTTTGCGACTGCAGTACAAGCACTCACCAGCTGAGATTCAGCGTTCGCGTTCGGCCGTAGAGAGATGAGAGCTGCCTAACTGCATGGGTTCTTCCTCATTGCCCCCACTCCCAGGTGCTCGGGGAAAAACAGATTCGGGCGCGGCTCTCGCTCCCAGTTGCCCCAGTGCCTCGTGGGATGTGTAGTTTCGCTGTGTCCGGCGAGCCCGCAGCCGCTCATCCACCTTAATGCATAAAGACATTAATTCATTAACACAGCGGTTCCCAAACTTTTTTTGCTGCCCCCCCTCCCCCGCACAAACACAACCTTCAACCACACACACCCATTCCTGTTTATTTCCCACCTCAAAACCTTTTGCAAACAATTGAGGAAATGAACGTTAACAGTAATAAATTACAGGTTGAAATGAAATAACAGAAAAACAAACCATCTTTATCGTATAATTATTTTTGTGTAGTTGTTTTTTTTTTCCAGTGCAAGAATATTCAAAACTGCCTCATATTTTTTTTAAATGCCTCTCTGTGCAAAATGGGTTTACAAATATGAACAACTCCCTGAGAGGAAAACTAAAAAAAATTAAAGGTTTGTTGCAAAATAACCCCACATTTAATCCTCACATCTTTTCAGTGACTGGTGTGAGCCTGCCTGTTGCTGCAGATCTTCTCAAACCTGGGTTGCAGTTTTGAGACAGCCACTCTGAGTTCATTTTCAATGTCCAGCTTTGATCTGTACTTTGTTTTGATTGAAGCCACAGCAGAAAAGCCTACCTTGCATAAGTAGGATGTGGCAAAAGGAAGAAGTATTGCCAGGGCTCTCTTACCCAGCAGTGGGTAATCTTTGTCCACTCCAATCCAAAATGCAGCCAGGGTCTTTGAATTAAACTGCAGCCTCTTAGTTGAATCACAGGTAAGATCAATGAACTGTTCCTCCTCGGATGTGCTGAAGTCAGCAGGGGGTGTTGCACTGAAGGGGTCACGGATCCAGTCATATTCTTTGGAATCTTGCACCAGGAAATATCTCTGGAAATGTTTCTGAAGGGCAGACATGTGTTCTTTCATGCATGGGATCACTGTATTGTGCAGCTTGTTGTCTTCAATGAATGATTTCAAATTCTCAAATGAGTCCACGTTTCCATCTTTCACTTGCTGCTTCCACATTTCAAGTTTTCTGACAAATGATGTGACTTTATCTGTCAGATGTGGGAGGTGAGTGTTTGTGCCCTGCATCCGCAAATTTAGTTCATTGAGTTTCAGGAACATGTCACTGAGGTATGCCAGTTTCATGAGAAAGTTGTTACAGTTAAATTTGTTGGTAAGATCACTTCCCTCTTCCTTCAAAAAGATGCAGATCTCATCTCATAGTTCAAAGACCCTGGATAGCACCTTCCCACATGACAGCCATTGGGACTCGCTGTGATACAAAACGGCTGTGTGGTCGGAGCCCATTTCTTCACACAGTGCCGAAAAAATCCGGGCTTTCACAGGTCGTGTTTTGATGTAGTTGACTGTGGTGATGACATCAGTCATTACGTTACTCAGCTCAGGACTGAGCTGTTTAGACGCCAGTGCTTCGCGGTGTATCATACAGTGCGTCCACTGCACATTGGGGGAGACGCGCTTGATGAGCGCTTGCAGCCCTCCTCGTTTCCCAGCCATAGCCTGCGTCTGTGCAAATCCCCACACAGTCCTCCCATTTCAGCTCGGCCTGTTTTAAGTAAGAGTCTATGATTTTAAACAGTTCTTCTGCAGTGGCTCTGGTAAGAACTTGTTTGCGGAAAAGTAATTCCTCCCTCATCTCATCTCCATCAATGAATCTGACATACGTTATCAGTAAGCAGTCTTTGTTACTATCAGTGGCTTCATCCATCTGCAGAGAAAAGCGGCTGTCACGCACCTTATAAATAAGTTGCTCCTCTATGTCCTTTGACATATCATAAATGCGCCTGCCGATGGTATTATTGGACAGAGGAATACCCCGTAGTTTGCTGGCTGCTGCGTCGTCAGTCATAGTTGAAACCATATCCATAGCACAGGGAAGTATTAATTCTTCTGCAATTTTGTGCGGCTTTTTACACCGAGCCACTCGGTAGGCAACTTTATAGGAGCTGAGAAGAGCATTTGTCGAAACAGATGCAGCTTTAGTAAAGAGACACTGTTGACCACGAGAATTTCGAAGTTTTTGTCTGAAAAAGTCTACTGATTTGTTTTTGTGCTCTGGAGGTTTTGTCTCCAAGTGGCGTCTTAGCTTGTTAGGCTTTAAACTGTCACAAGCTAGCATTTTAAGACAGACAACACACTGCGGCCTCTCCTCATTACCCACCGTTGCACAGGCGAAGCCAAGCGCAAGATATGCTTCATCATATTTTCTGCTTTTTGGTTTGGAAGGAAGTGGGTCAAAGGAGCTTGCAAAGAAAAGCGTCTGGACTTCTTTAAGTTGCTTGAAGATTAGAGGGTGATGATAAGAGGATCATCATGGGGTCCTTTTGTCCCTCTTTGGGGGAATACTCCCACTGGGTTTAAATCTGGGACTCTCCGCCATTTGACCTTAGAACTGAAGAAGCTTCTCGGATGAGAGGTGAAACGTCTTCAAGCAACTTAAAGAAGTCCAGACGCTTTTCTTTGCAAGCTCCTTTGACTACGATGACCTGGATGACTGAGAACCTTCACAGACAATGAAGTGGGTCTGTATGCATATTTGGTGATGCTTCATCTTCTGCTTTTCGTTTGTGTGCGAGCCCCGTCAAAAACCTGTCCATTATGCTAGCTAGCAGAGTTCTTTTTTTTTTTTTATTCATACCAGCGCCCCCCCTGCAATGGCTTTGCACCCCCCCCCCCCCCAGGGGGCAGGCCCCACACTTTGGTCTGCAATCCTCTTGCAAGTCAGACATGCTCCGCTTACCTTGTTGGATTCCAAGCACAGACTTTCTCTAATAAACTTACATATTTCATTTTTTATACAGATTGAGCAACTGTGGTTTGTCAGAGATCAGCTGTGATTATCTGGCAGCAGCACTGAAATCCAACCCCTCCCATCTGAGAGATGTGGACCTGAGTAAGAACAACCTGCAGGATTCAGGATTGAAGCAGCTGTGTGATTTTCTAGAGAGTCCAGGATGTGGACTTGAAACTCTGAGGTCAGTCACCATGTTTTAGTTTTGCTGAGATGAATATTATGTGAAAGTTATGCCTTCACTAAACTGCAGACATAAGGCTGATATTATACTGATGCACCACACCACAAACCACAGGGTTCAGTGCTAGGACCAATTCTGTTTACATTATACATCCTTCCCTTAGGCAACATCATCAGAAGGCATAGCATACATTTTCACTGCTATGCAGATGACACCCAACTTTATCTGTCCATGAAGCCAGATAACACACACCAATTAGTTACACTGCAGGAATGTCTTAAAGACATAAAGACCTGGATGACCTCTAATTTTCTCCTTCTAAATTCAGATCAAACTGAGGTTATTGTACTCGGCCATGAAAATCTTAGATATATGGTATCTAACCAGATTCAAAGTCAAAGTCAAAGTCAGCTTTATTGTCAAAACCATATGTACAGGTCATACAGGAATTTGAAAATGCAATGCTCCGACAGTGCTCACTAGGTCTTATGTACAACTCAATACAATACAATACAAAATCTTACATAAACAACAATGTCCAACACAATCAGAGTGCTTGTGAGCAAGAGTTTGTGTGCAGGTAGGGGTGGGGCAGTCAGTGAAAAGGAGATGGTGGAGGTTCAGAGTTTTGTATGTCTGGGGGGAGGTCGGGGTTCAGAGGGAAGCGGTGGATGCAGGTCTGGAGTTTGTGTGTGTGAGAGCAGGGAGTGAATTATTTGATGAATAGGTTGGAGCTGTGTGATGGTGTGCAGGCATGGGTCACCAGAGTGAAGAGAAGGGGGCTCAACACACATCCTTGGGGAGCCCGCGTATTCAGTCTTCTTGTGCTGGAGGTGTTGCTGCCGACCCGTACTGTCTGCTGTCTTCCTGTCAGGAAATCCAGCAGCCAGTTACACAGTGAGGTGCTGATCCTCAGCCGATCCAGTTTGTGAATGAGTTGCTGGGGAATGATTGTGTTGAATGCTGAACTGAAGTCTGTGAAAAATTTTCTAATGTATGAGTCTCTAGTGTCCAGATGTGTGAGGGCTGAGTGAAGGGCAGTTGGAATTGCATCATCAGTCGAGCAGTTTGACCGGTATGCGAACTGAAATGGATCCAGGTTGGGGGGAAGAGATGTCTTGATTTGATGCATGACTAACCGTTCAAAGCACTTAATAATGATGAGGTGAGTGCGACCGGATGGTAGTCGATGACTTCTTTGGTACAAGAATGATGGTGGAGGCTTTGAGGCCTGTGGGAGTGACAGCCTGGCTCAGTGATGTATTAAAGATGTCTGTGAAGACATCTGTGAGTTCCGCAGCACAGTCTTCTGTGCAGGGGTGTAGTTCTGTGCCTCAGCGAGCAAAGAATTTGTTTAGCTCATCTGGTAAAAAGGTGGAACTGACAGCTGTCTGCGGAGTGGGCTTGTAGTCTGTGATGGTTTGTATTCCTTGCCACAGCCTCCGAGTATCTCTGCTGTCACTGAAGCTTTGCAAAATCCTCCTGGAGTGCTGCCTTTCCACCTCTCTGATGCCATGTGACAGGTTTGCCCTTGCTGTTCTTAGGCTCACCTCATCCCCATCTCTGAAGGCTGCATTTCTCACCCTCAGGAGCCTGTAGACCTCATCTGTGAGCCCTGGTTTCTGATTGGCCTGGACAGTGATAGTCCTGGTCTCTGTGACATCATCGATGCATTTTCAGATATAGGCAGTGACAGTTTCTGTATATTCCTGAAAGTCTGTGGTGTTGTCGTGTGTGGCAGCCTGTGGTGGAAAAGCAGTCTTGCAGTGCCTCTGAGGACCCTTCTGGCCACACACGTACCTGCTAACAAACTGGTTTGGTGACTTTGACCAGGGCCTGTATGCTGGCATTAGCATAACAGTGATGTGATCAGAGGCACCAAGGTGGGGGAGGGCTTTGTAATCTCCACTCTGGGTGGTGAAAACATTGTCCAAAATGTTGTTTCCCGAAGTGGGAAATTTAATGTGTTTGTGCAGTTTGGGAAGCACAGTCTTTGGGTCTGCATGATTGAAATCATCCGCTAGGATGAGAAAAGCATCTGGGTGGGCTGTCTGCTGCTCACTGACATGCTGATACAGTTCATTCAGTGCCTCACTCCTGTTATTGTTTTTGGAGCAGGAGGGATATAGACAGCAACAAACAATATGGCTGAGAAATCCCTCGGTAGGTAGAACGGTCTGTACTTGATGATCATAAGCTCCAACAGTGGTGAACAGTGTTTGCAAGTCACAACAGCGTCACGACACCAGGCATTGGTGTAAACACAGAGTCCCCCTCCGCGAGCCTTATCTCCTTCGGCAAGAGCTCTGTCTGCCCGTTAGCCAGTTGAGTTGAATGGCACTGTTGGGAATGTTATTGTTAAGCCCCACTCCCTCACTGACTTCAAAGTGGACTGAAGTAAGCGTACATGATCCAGTTGTCCAAGGAGCGCACTTTGGACAGTACGATGGTGGGAATAGTGGGTTTGTGTGGATTAGTCGCTAGCCTACTCCAGATGCCTCCGCGCTTACCCCTCTTCTGTCTCCTCTCGCACCGCCTGAAACGTTTCCACAGTGAGCGAGATCTAGTAGCGGGGGCCGCTGATGATAGATGCCTCCGAAGCAGTGTGCAGTTCCTCAGTGTGATTCGTAGCTCTTCCATGTGTGAAAAGTTTGTGGATTTGCTTCTGTTGATTTTGAGCAGGAGCTCACAACTGTAAGAGCATTTTTGTGAAAAAGAGCATAACAAAGACAGGAACACTGTTTTATCGGGACGGAGAGCAGTCTGCGCCACCATCTTAAATTCTTACTCTGGATGGCATTACCTTAGCCTCCATTAACACTGTCAGGAACCTTGGAGTAATTTTTGACCAGGATATGTCCTTCAATGCACATATTAAACAAATATGTTGGATGACATATTTGATGTCATCCGACATATTGCTATTTCGGGAGATGTTATTGAGAGATGCTAAAAAGCTTGTTCATGCATTTATTACTGCATTTATTCCCATGATTCATTGAGTGTTTCTCACTCACTATGTGTTTAAACACGTCTCTGCATTCAAGCATAACTTATATTTATGTCTGGTCCCGCCCAATCCCAACTCTTTAATACAGACTTTTTCCCTCTCACTGTCGCAAAGCGCTTGATCATAGGGGGTCATAAAATTGTTGGGGTTTTCTCAGTTGTATTATTGTAGGGTCTACCTTAAAATCAAAGCACCTTGAGGCAACTGATGTTGTGATTTGGCGCTGTATAAATCAATAAAATTCAGATTTTTTTTCTCCAAATTTTCTCTTGTGTTTGTTTTAAGCTGCTTCCTGTTGGCTTCAGCTGTTTGGAGTTTCCATTTTCTAAACTTCTACATTCTGAACCTTCTTCAGTTCTGAACAGTTTATGAAACACTGAATGATTTCAAGCACAAAATTTGTGTACTAAACTTACTTCTTTCATTCTTTATACAGATTGAAGCACTGTGGTTTGTCAGAGATCAGCTGTGATTATCTGGCAGCAGCACTGAAGTCCAACCCCTCCCATCTGAGAGAGCTGGACCTGAGTAAGAACAGCCTCCAGGATTCAGGGGTGAAGCAGCTGTGTCGTTTTCTGGAGAGTCCAGGATGTGGACTTGAAACTCTGAGGTCGGTTGGCATGTTTTAGTTGTGCTGAGATGAATATGATGTGAAAGTTGTGCTGACACTAAACTGCAGACATCAGGCTGATATTATACTGATCCACACTGAGGATCTTCATGGTAAAGTGTGTTTTCTTCTTCTTTGGTTTTGTTATTTGGAAGTTCGGAGCTTTTAAAAACTGGGACTTGTTTTTCTCTCATTTCTGTATGGGCAGGGCTCAGGCAGCTTCACCCACACAGTGACAATGAAGCAGGTGAAGAGTAGACTGGACTTCTTTAAGTTTCTTGAAGACGTTTCAACTCTTATCCGAGAAGCTTCTTCAGTTCTAAGAGCAAATGGTGGAGAGTCCCAGATTTTAAGCCCTATGGGAGTGTCCCCCAAGAGGGACATGGACACCCTATTGATCCTCTACCTAATCACACGAGCCAAGGTGTGAAAACTGGGTGCGGGTCACAATCACCCAAGGTTTCGGGTGAACCCATAGTGAAACCTAGCCCCACCCTATCATGTGAGGTCCTGAGGCCCAGGATGTGAGTGGGCGTTAAGGCGTCTGGGAAGGGATTTCAAAACTGGATTATAGATGACAGACAGTTGGTGTCGTAAGCCCCGCCTGTGTTCAAAGGTGGTCGTTCACAGTGGACATAGATGCTTCTTTCACTCCTCTTTCAAACCATCTGTCTTCTCTGTCCAAAATGTGAACATTGGCATCCTCGAAAGAGTGACCTTTGTCCTTCAGATGCAGATGAACCGCTGAGTCTTGTCCCATGGAGGTGGCTCTTCTATGTTGTGCCATGTGTTTATGAAGTGGCCGTTTGGTCTCCCCAATGTAGAAGTCTGAGCATTCCTCACTACACTGTACAGCATACACCACGTTGTTTAGTTTGTGTTTAGGAGTTTTGTCTTTGAGATGAACCGGTTTTTGTATGAGTGTGTGGCTGGGTCTGAAGTACACTGGGATGTCGTGCTTGGAGAAGACTCTCCTCCTGAGAAACTCAGGAGAGTCTTCTTCTATATCATAAGCTGATGTACAAACATTTAGAATGATGGTGGCAGGTATAGAAACAGGTCCATAAAGACTGAAGCGTGTCTCCATTCCTTTGCATATTCCATATTTGATACTGAGAGTTTCCAGAAGAGCAAACATCAAACATGCCTCCAAACATGTGACGAGTCAGACTGACATCATTTCTACAGAGAACAGTGTGAGCTCTCAGCAGGTCACTGCAATAAGAAGGACAAACAGTGCAGCAGGAATGACTAAACCCAATAACAGTTTGATATCCCCGTGTTCTACAGCATCATCATTAATGCTGCTCCACCACCATCACTGCAACTGACCAATCAACTTCTGTCACATCATGTGACGCTCTGTGACTCAGACTGGAGAAATGCTAAATGGCTAACCTGAAGCTAACCTGAGAAACAGTCAAAGTACTGATGATTCCTATAAAGTGTGTGTGTTCAGTATGAGATGAGTTTGGTAGTACTGTGTGTGCACAGGTGGACTCCACAGGAGTAGGGATGGGTATTGTTTAGGTTTTATCCGATACTAGTACCAAACCGGTACTTTTGAAACGGTGCCGGCGCTTAAACGGTGCGCGAACTGGTGCTGAAAGAATGGAGAACACACACTTTGTCCAAAAACCTTTCATGTTTAGCTGTTTTTTTGTTTTTTTGAAGGAGGCTCTCATCCCATTGTACAGTCCGGTACAGCACCTCCGCCTCCTGAGCCATAACAAACACCAGTCTGGTCAGAGTACACAGGAACACACCTGGACCAGGACACCTGAACCTGTAGGACACAGAAGGGCTAAAGCACTCCAACCAGCCTGTATCACCTGAGGTCTGATCACCTCCAGCTGTATCACACGTAGGGATGGGTATCGTTTAGGTTTTATCCGATACCGGTGCCAAATCGGTACTTTTGAAAC